CCCGAGCTACCCTCGCCCTCCCAGAGGAAGCGGCGAAGCCGAACCGCGGCCCCGGCCGGGCCTTGTGGAAAAATACAGACCACTCCGCGGGATCCGAGGCCCCGGGCGAGCGGGCGAGCATCTGCGGGGCAGCGCGAGGGATCGGCCTGGGAAGAGGTGGAGTTTTGCAGGGAGACCTGGGGCCTGGCTTAGACCGAGGCCATTGGACGCTGCGCTGCACACCGAGGGGAGACGCCAGAGGCTGGGCATGTTGGCAAGTGACAGGGACAGCTGGAAGCGAAAGGCAGCACTGGCTCCAAGTGGAAGGATTTGTGTTTAAGGGGCAGTGTTTTGGTTGTGTGGGTTTTTTTTGGGGGGGGGCGTTAGAAGTTTGGAGGGAGGAAAGAAGGCTTTTGCTTTGTAAGCACCGTCTGCAGGAAAGTAAACGTCGGAGATGGAAAGCGGATACGGTAGAAAGAAGGTAGTGGCGAGCTGCGACAGCTGTAGAGGGGTGACGACACACACCTGTGATCCCAGCACCTGGGAGCCTGATCCAAAAAGTGAGTCCAAGGCCAGTGGTTGCTCAGAAACATTGGTCTACCTGTGTTAGGGACCAAGAGGAGGGGGTGAGACTGAGATAAGGGGAGGCAGATAGAGAAATTTAACAGGATTTCGAAGCTTGATGAGAGAGAGAGAGAGAGAGAGAGAGAGAGAGAGAGAGAGAGAGAGAGAGAGAGAGAGAGAGAGAGAGAGAGAGAGAGAGAGAGAGAGAGAGAGAGAGAGAGAGAGAGGAGAGAGAGAGAGAGAGAGAGGACACTGGATGATTGAAAGAGGGAAATAATACAAGAGAAAGGAGACAGCTACTTTTAATTTTTTTACTTATTTTAGTAATTAATTTATTTTACATTCAGGCTGCAGTTTCCCTCCCTCCCTCCTCTCCCCCAGTCCCTCTGTCCCCACCCCTCCAATCCACTCCTCCATTTCTGTTTAGCAAAGGTTATGTCTTCCATGGATATCAAAACATTCCATGTCAACTTTCCATAAGACTATGCACCTCCCCATGCATTAAAGCTGCGCACGGTGACCCAGTATTCAGAGTAGGGTCCCAAGAGCCAGTAAAAGAGTCAGAGACAGCCCCAGACAGCTACTTTTTAAAAAATGTGCCTGCATGTATGTCTGAGCATGTCAGATCCCCTAGAACTGGAGTTACAGACAGGTGTGAGCTGCTACATGGATGCTGGGAACTGAACCCTGGTCCCCTGGAAGAGCAGACAGTACTAAACTGCTGAGCCACCTCTCCAGCACCAGACAGCTACTTTTTAAAAAAAGACCATCAGTTGGACGTTCGGAGGGGTTGGAGGCAGCCATATAGATGTGGTCCCCGAGAAGTTAGAAAGAAAAGTTCTGAAATAGGCAGAGGAACCGGACTGGAAAATACACTGGGGGCCAGGGAAATGGTTGAGTGGATAGTTTGAATTCTATCCCCAGAATGACTGCAGACTCTCCCAACACGCTGGCCTCAGTGATGAGCAGGCAGGGACAGGAGAATCCCTGGGTCTTTCTAGCCAGCCTGTCTCAAACAAAACAAAACAAAACAAACAAAAAACCAAGGTGTACAGCTTGAGGAATAATAAACAAAGCTGTCCCTCTAGCCCTCCCCCCAACATGATCCACCTGCATGTACATGATGAACAACACACA